TGTGTCACGGTGATAAACGGTGAGTGTGACTGACACTCACCGAACCAGGAAACACTCTTAAGTTATTGGAATCCTAACGATAACAGACCGGTCGTTCACTGTCCTCACACTGAACTACACTCAGCTTTCCCGCTAGGTTCACTTATTCTTATTCACTTTTGGCATGTAAATGCACAACACAGGTCTCAGTGTAATCATCCATTAAGTTCAGAGTTTTAAAGCCTATTGATGGTGGTCGCCATATTGGAAATACTGATTCAACCTTACTTTGGGATGACCTAGTGTGGGCCAAAGAGATGAAGTCAAGGTGAGCATTGAGCTATGTGCCTTCTTCTGTCATTTTAAGGTCTCTGCATTGGATACCCACCTCTTTTAGAATAGATTTTAAGGCTTTTTTATTGGTTTTTAAAGCTCTTAATGGCTTTGGTCTATCTTATTTATCCGAACTGCTTTTACCTGATGAGCCAGGTAGAGCCCTAAGGTCTTCAGAAAGTTCTTTGCTAACATTACCTAAAGTTAAAACCAAGATATACGGAGAGGCATCTTTTTACTACCATGGCCCCCGTCTATGGAACAGCTTAAATGAAGACCTGAAGACTGCACCTAATCTTAATGATTTTAAAAACCAAACTCAAAGTGTACCTTTTTAGTCTCGCATTTAACTACATTTTATATCATTAACTTTAAGTGTTTTAGCATTTATCTCTTTCTAGTTTTAATGACAGGATCGTCTTTTATTGTTGTTTTTATTTCACAGGTTCTGTCTCTTCTTGCTCTCGTCATCTCCATCTTTGAATTGCCGCTGGAGACGCAATGCATGACGGGATGCCCACCACCGGTGATTGACCATCAGATGGTCACTACATTTTGCGATGCACTATGGGAAATTTCCAGTCGCCTACATGGGGCGTTGGAATTTATCACTCAGGTTTCGGACACCCCTCAAAATGGCGCTAACCCCCATATAGTCGCCTATTTAGGGGTTAGGGATCCATCATGGACACAGCCATTGTGTGAGGTAAAGGTTTTAAAGGCTTTAACTTTTGAGTAAAAACAATCTAAGAGCCAAAGAAGTTAAACACCATCCACAATAATGCGATCCTGAGACCCACTGATATCCAAAAGCAATTTAAGTGTCATCCAGAAGAAGAAAGATCTGTGTGCAAGTGCAGCTAAAATTCAGCTCATAGATATCATTTCTCAGCAACCAGTTTTTGCTCCTTAAGTTGCTTGTTGGGACAATAAAAAATAGAAACACACGGAGAAGAAGTCATGACCAGTCCTGCTTGGCTACTCCCCTAATGGCTCGAGAGGCTACAGACCAGGAATGAAGTCGATAAATCAAAGACATAAACAATTCAACACCAAAAAAGGTTTGCTGGATCTACTTTCAGGAACAAAACTCGCTCTACATCTATTTTCCTGGGAAGCTGAAAACAGAATGAGTAATTCTCAAAAAGTGATGAATGTGACCTCGCTGGTTATTGCTCACACAGTCAGTGCAGGGAAAAAAGAGTTATTTGTGCGTAAATATGGCTGATAAAATCAGTCTGTGCGGGAACAGGTACACATTTCAGACAAGGCCAGGCACATACCTGCAGGCTGGAATTTTATCAGAGGCATATTTACCACTTTTTCATGTCAACCCACAATGACAGATAGGCCAGGAATTCCTCTGATCACCAAGCTGTTTCAAAGTGGAAACTTTCTTCTTTCTCAGTGCTTGGAAAACCATTATGTGCTCCAGCGGTCACGGAAATGTAAAGAATGAAAGTGCTGATGCAGAGTCTATGACCTGGATTTCAACAATGATCATTATAAGCAGTATGGAGGCTTTGCATTTCAGCATCAACGGCTCAGTCCGTACATCTATAGAAACACTCTGACACTCGTCTGACTACTGTCTTATAGTTTCTCTTCAGTGTATGTTTTTAAATGTGGCAGAGTTTCTCTCCCATGTATGCTCAGAGTGAATTATGAACCTGATAATCATATCATTCATTCAGGACCTTCAAAATCTGCACAGCTCAGCTACTAACAGGTTTTAGATAGATGAATAGGTGAAAAAGGCAAATATGATCAGATTATGCTTTGATCTCAGACATTTTTTGCACTATTTTTTTCCATTTGCACTGTTTACTATGCCTTCATAATGCTGCACTTCTGCCTTATGCTCATGTTTACGGACTGTTTTTATTCATTCTTTATTTAGTGTAAATATTGATACAGTATTTGTATTGTACATAGAATGTGTTGTATTTCACTGGTGCTACCTGTTTTTTTTTTTATCTATCTATCTATCTATCTATCTATCTATCTCTCTCTCTCTCTCTCTCTATCTATCTATCTGAGTATGGGTGGTATATATGTTAGAAGCAAAATCTTCATTTCAAACATATTGACTAAACACTGAAATTATACATCCTTAGTTTTGACTTTCTCATGTGTGTGAAAATGTGATATTTTGTGCGATTTATAATTGGAAAGCAGAAAAATGTTTAGAATTTAGGGCTGGGCGATACGCCCTCAAATCAACATTATGATATATTGAGCAGTACACCAGTGTTGTTTTCGTCAGGCAGGACGAAAACTTAAATGACGACGTCAGACCCCTTTTTTCCTTGACGAAAATGAGACTAAGACGAACGTCACCAAAGCTCTGTAAAGACTAAAATGTGACGAAAATTGTATTGATTTTCGTCAGATGAGAACGAGACGAGACTAAATTGTTATTAGGTGGACGAACAAAGTTTCAAAACATGCTTTTTTTTTGTCCTAACAGTCACGCCCCCATCACACACGCACCAAAAGCCTCGCTCGCGCACAGATGCGCGCACACACTCATACACATACACAGAGCGGCAGGTGGACGAGGCGCGCGCACACACACACACCGCGGCGGCAGGCACAGCAGCGGTGGCCGAAAAAAGAGGGATTCTTTATGGTCTTACTTCAGATACAGTTCAAGTGACAATAAAACACAATGTCTTGTACGGGGACGAGGAGACAAGACAGACGACAGTTGTGGAGCCACAGCTTCCTCATGCTGCGGCTTCAAATTGTCGGGAAAGAACACCACGAACCTCAAAAGACACCTTTTGGTCGACTAAAACTAGACTAAAACCTTTTGAGTTTTCGTCGGACTAAAACTAGACGAAAACTATCAAGGATAGAAATGACTAAAATGGGACTAAAACGAAGAAGCATTTTGTCAAAATGACTAAGACAAAAACTAAATCTAAAATGCCTGCCAAAAACAACACTGCAGTACACCTTGATGACGATTAATGGAGTCACGCCTCTGACATAGGACAGCGTCTTACAGGGACATGAGACCATAGCCGACCTACACACATCCAAAACCAACTTATATTAATTTTTTTGACACTTAATATTTTAAATAACGTCAGTTATTGTCGTAAATTTCGGTATCGGTAAATTTTTGGTTTATCGTCTAGCCCTAATGTATAGTAAGTGACCTGCTTACTACATTAATCCTCCTTTTCATTGATACAAAGCCCTTCTCATTGGTTTTAGGGAAACCTGGTGCAGTAACAAGTGCGTCACAAAAACGCCATGAACTCTGGGAGCAGCTATCAATGTGACAATTTAATGCTTTGAGCCATGAAATACAACACACTTTTAAAAACCTCCATTTGGTTTTAGTATCACAACTATTACCTCAAAAAAACACAACTGAACAACAGCTTCAAAGCCTGAGGAATGAGACAGTCAAAAGAGAAAGTGAATGCAACATTACAAAGTCAGTTTCCTGGAGAAGCTTCTTCAGAAAATGACTTTTTATTGCCTCATCGGTTTATGATGAAAACAAAACACTAAAACTATAAAACTGTACAAGTGTTTACTCTGAATGAGCCAAAACAAAAGGCTCCATGAAACAGAATAATGTTCCAAATAACAAAAACTGAACATGCAGTTGTTCACATTTATATGCTTGTTTTTGTGTTTTACAGGGTACATAAGACCAAACAGATAGTCTGTGTATACATCAAGTATCTGACAAACCCACACAGACCCTGATTTGGAGCTGGTGATTCATCTGTTGCTGCAGACTGAGCTGCACAGTGGGAGTATTTCTCCTGAAGCTCAAGGGCGCCATCTAGTGCTTACAAGTCAGAGGAGCAGTCAACCTGTAAGCAAGTCATTTTACCTTTTTTTTTTAATAAAAGGATATCTAAGTTTTAATACAACACAAATAAAGTCATAATTTAATGGCAAGAGTATTTTTCTTACAACACAACACAAAAATAAAACCACCACAGATAAACGTCACTGAAATCTGACAAATGCAAAACATGTCTAAGGTGTCCCTCATTTGAAGTTTGATCAATTCTTCTAATTGTGGACCTCGCTTTTGTTAGCTTTGACATTTTCTCGTCTACTTTTGCAGCTGCATGGACTCAAGAGAAAGCTATACGGGAAGCTTATATCAAGTTGCTGTTGCTTTGTTGCATGTTGCTTTGCTCCCTGCACAGCTTATTTGGACCTTAAACAAATTAAAATGTTAAACTGGGAGCAAACCTGCCTGGTGTTTTTGGTAATATCCAGTTGGTGTTGTAAAGCTGTGTCCCTCTCACCCCTGTGCTCTTGGCAGAAAGCTGGTGAGGACTATGGCTACAAGACTAAGGGTGCACTCACATTCGGCAGTCTGTGCTGCGCCCAAGCATATTTTACTCCCAGAGACTGCTGTGAGCGCTCCATACCGTGCTCAGGCATGGTACACTTCCTTAATAGGAGGAGGTGGGCTTCAGCACAGTATGGTCCCTCACAAATGGGGGGATTCTGAGGCCCTGAGTTGAAAATTTTGCCTCTTAAAATTGGGGCCAATGGTCCTTTAAAACTTATGTTGACATACGTACAGGTACACTGTCCATTTTTGTTTGCAGCAGTCCACAGACTCAATCATTGTGCTAATATCTGTGAACGATCCAGTCTCCCGTGAGACCTTAAAACCAGAAACCACTTCCTTGTCGAAGTTCTCACTCAATCTTTTGCCTGAGGATCCTTTTCTCCTCCTCTACAAAGTTCTTGTCAGAGGTAGCTTGTCCCAAGTCCCTCTTCCTCTTCTCTTTCTGCTGGAAGGTCTCTACTCGACGTTTCTTGGTAGACAGGCTCCCCTTCTCTGCATCCTCATCTGTGCGGAGGCATAACAGTCGTGGTGGAGGTGATGGTGGTGGTTGGGATTGGGGGTTTGGGGAGAGAAGGGGTGATGGGAAATTTTAACTTTTAATACAGTCAACAACAAGCTGGAGGCAGGATCTTTGAAGGCCAGGCAGGAGACTGACTGGACACGAGTAAATAATGCTTTTAAAGGATTAGAGACAGGGGATTGGGATTGAGGATTTTCTGTGTAGACTGCCAGTTTTCATTATGAACTTTATTTGCAAGTAGCCTAGAAAGTTATTTAGATATTTCACAATAAAATTACACTTGAATGTTGCCATGACAACACAAGTTTTAAATAATTGAATGGAAAAGTGGGCACATTGAATTATAATGTAATCTACTCGAGACTGGCAGAGTGAAATGTTTAAGCAGTAATGTTGCTTTCTGCTTGTGTCTTTTTCCTTATTAGGTCTGGGTTTTCTTTTTCAGTTTTTCACTGTGTAGGTGAAGTATATAATTATTTTTAGGAAATAGGCTCCAATACAGTGTGGAAATAAACCCACGATTCCTTCAAGCTTGTGCTTGATCTGCAATCATGTACTCTGGACATCTGTTTACCTCCAGGAAATGCAGGTGAGGTTGTGGTTTGCATCTTTAGGTGCTTCAGGCAGTCAGTTTAAGTGTGAGAGCTTAAATCTTGTCTGGGGTTTTCACTTGATATAAACTTGCAATAACACTATATTTTCTAAATGCATATGACTATCTCACGGGATTGGGACTCGGTGGGAAAGCTTTGGATTAAAAAAGCCCATTTTATTAACAGCACCATCTACTATCCATCCTCTACAAATATTACTGTCAAACAAGTGGTGAAATAAAGCCCACAGAGCTGGAACTTCATTTTGCAGCACGAACCTGAGTCAGAGGGCTGCTCCTCCGTGGGTAAGAACCGTGCCTCGCCTGTGTAGGGCTGTGGTGCATCTTCTCCGTTGTCCTCGTACACGTTGGACCACTTTATGGCCATGTCCATACGGGAAGCTTATATCAAGTTGCTGTTCTGCATGTTGCTTTGCTCCCTGCACAGCTTATTTGGACCTTAAACAAATTAAAATGTTAAACTGGGAGCAAACCTGCCTGGTGTTTTTGGAATATGCAGAAGTGACATAAATGCTACGACTCCTTTCCTTACATTAAATTCGAACCACAGGTGAGAATTAACATGTTAAAGGGATATCCAAGGTAAAATTAAGTTAGGGTCAAACACACTGTAACACGGAGTTAGACACCCTGTTGAGAGATGAATGTTGCCGACCGCTTGCTTCTCTAGTTATACCAACTTTAGTAACGACCACAGGATAGCAATACAGAGAGCCACGCATTCAACCAAAACGCTACTCTATAGCTACAAATAATGCTCAGAACAGCACCTAACTTCATCAACAGTAGCCACCAAACATCTTTTTAACTTTGCCTGATTTCTTTAGCAAAGAGACTAAACACAACTGCAGCGGGGTGACGCAGCTCAAGGAAGAACATTTATGATCACTACTTTATCATTTCCATTAAGTAATAGTTATCAAATTAATCATTTTGCACTGCAGACGCAGTAGTTCTTCTGCCTTAGCGTCTCGGTCTGATTGCATTTCCATTAGGTAATAATTATAAATGTTGTTCCTTGAGCTGCGTCACCCCGCTGCAGTCGATGGACTCGGCCTGAGGTCTCCGTACAAACAAGCGGCTGCTGGAAGAGAGTAGGTGAGTTGTGTAGGTGAGTTGCAGCCACTTGTTTGTAGCAAGAACTCAGGCCAATCCATTACGGATTACAGCGGGGTGACACAGCCCAAGGAAGAGACTGACTGGACACGAGTAAATAATGCTTTTAAAGGATTAGAGACAGGGGATTGGGATTGAGGATTTTCTGTGTAGACTGCCAGTTTTCATTATGAACTTTATTTGCAAGTAGCCTAGAAAGTTATTTAGATATTTCACAATCTGCGTCACCCCACTGCAGTCGATGGACTCGCCCGGAGGTCTCCGTACAAACAGGCGGCTGCTGGAAAAGTGGGCACATTGAATTATAATGTAATCTACTCGAGACTGGCAGAGTGAAATGTTTAAGCAGTAATGTTGCTTTCTGCTTGTGTCTTTTTCCTTAGTCTACTTTGTATCTTACCTCTTCTGGAGCTTTGACCGTCAGGCTGTCCCAGTCTATCTCCTTATTCAGCGGGTTATAGAGGAAAGCGGGTTTGGACACGGACCCGAACAGGGCGTCAGGTCTCGGTAAAGGGGCTCCAGTGGCCCCTCGTTTGGTCCCTTGTAGAGAGGACTGAGCCCCGCTCCCTGCAGCTCCTGTCCCCGGTCTATCCTGTCCCCCCTCCTCCTCAGAGTCGTTGCTGCTGTCGCTGAGATCGTCGTAGCTCGAGAAGAAACCCAGCGCGCCTGTCTTCTTTTCTTCAGCCATTTTTAAACACTAACTTATTTAACAACGTGGTTTTATCATAAAATGATGCAAAACCGAGATTTAAGCCGCGGTGTGTGAAAATCTGTTTAACGGGAAACTTCAGTACTACTCCATTTTGAATCAACCTCCAAAGTAGCAGTAAAGCGTCCGCGTAGTGTCGTGACGACTGTCGCAAAGCTGTTTTATTAAAGGAGCATGTCCCCCCCCAAAATCCTTCTCTTTTCTGCAGAATGAACTCCAAATGATCTGTTATTAGAATCTGTGCACCCCTGCCCACCAGCCAGGTAACACATAAATGAATCGAATTCAGTGTGTTGTTTACCCCCTAAACTTCAGTTGCCAAGCTGTAACCTGCATTTATTTGTCTCTGTTGTGAAGTAGCCTGTCTCAACGCCACACAGCTTTTTTATAAATCAGCATAATTTTAAACTCTGCCATGTGTTTCTATCAGGAGAGGGCCTGGACTTGGTCCAGTTAGTGTGAACAACATGCTTTGAAATTTAACTTCACATTAATATTATAATTATTCAAGTCAAACACTATTGTCTCTATAAACTCAGCTTTTTGTTCCAGAGGAAACGCTATTGTGAAATACATTTATATAACTGATCACTGCTTTTTCTGCAGTCATCCAAATTTACAATTCTGCATTTAGGATGAATATTTCAAATGTAGATGTATCCAAATTTTCTTGCTCTATCTGAATTTTCAGATTTTTAATAAACTGTACTCCGATATTTCTGTCATTGACGTGTTTCTCTGCTCTGTATATGACAAAAAAAATAACACTTTTTCATGAAACAGACATTACTCGATAAAAAGTGGAATAAAAACTTTCTCAGGTGCTCCATGTGGATAAAGAGTGGATTTAAAGCTGACTCAGGTGCTCTATATTGAATAAAAAGAATCAATGAAAATAAAAAAAGTCAGGGCAGAGAGCATCAATATTTCTACAATAATAAAGTCACCTAAGCAGTAAATCCAACAGGAGGTTCACAAATGTTCTCTTCTTTACTTTCACTTTAAATGGGACATTTTAGCTTTAAATACCATTTTGATCACTTCAGAGACGCCAAGAGACATCAGTTTTACCTGACAACCCAAAATATGCCTACAAATCTGCAACTTTTTGCTCCACAGTTGCAGGATTGGCAACTGTTGTCATAAAAAGTAAGTTGCACCAATAAGTCAAATCAGACCAAGTTAATATGAATATATAATAATAATTATTATTATTATCATTATTAAAGTTGCTATTATTATCATCATTATTTATTATTATTATTGCTATACTTTATTTTTTTAGTATATATATATATACAGTATATATATATATATATATATTGACAACTCAGCATAATTTTGAGCTCTGTTTTGCGTTCCTATCAGGACACCCTCAGGTGCTTCATGTGAATATACAGTGAAATTAAAAACTTTTTCGGGCGCTTTATGTAGATAAAAAAGTACATTTGTAGCTCTCTGATGTGTTCCATATGAGTAAAAAGTGAAATAAAAGGTTTGTGTTACAATGGGACAATAATTCTCTCTGGAAACTCCAGAAACTGGCCTCCTCGGCTCCTTTGTGTTTACAGAGTGTTGTTAGAATAAGAGGTGATAGAGCACATTTATAAACATGCATATATATATATACAGTCTATGGTGTGAACGCACTGCCTACTCAATTCAGAGGCGGGGTTAGTAGGAGTAGTTGGAGTAGTATGCCATTTCGGACACAGCCGTGGTTTGATCTCGAACGGTTTCACTTTCTACGCCTCTCTTGTGTGACGCAGTTTTTTTTCACCGACCTGCAGGTATTGTAACTTCGTCTTTCATTGACTTGAACTAATTTAATCACCCAACCTAACTCCTAGTCTTCGTTTTTTGTTATTATTGTTTAGGTTATGTCAAGAAAGTGGGGACAGTTGTTGGCGTCATGAACTTGCTGGCTTCCTATTGTCCTGTTTACGTCTTGGAAAAGTTAATTTACTTGCATAAATAAACGACCGAAACTTCGAGAATGAGTTTTTCCCCCATCATTTTCACTGCTATGATATCGTGATGCTTTATTTGTCTACTATATTGGTTGTTTTACCGAATAAGATTTAAACAAATACTTTTGTTTCATGTCTTTTAAAGTCCAAAGATGACAACGGTGTTGGTTTTGGGCCTTGCTGCTACGCCCAATTGTGATCGTCCGTGGAGAAATATTGTCTTAAACTGTTGGGCTATTTGCTCGTGCAGTTGTGCACAAAGTGGTGAACCCCTGAGCTTTTCGGGCATGCTCATGAAACTTACTTGTTCGCCTGTGGAATGATCCAAGCAGGTGTTTTTGGAGCAGTCCTCCATGTCCTCGGTCTTTTATTGACTCTGTCTCAGCTTTCTTCGAATGTGTTGCAGCATCAAGTTTACAATTCTGCATTTAGGATGAATATTTCAAATGTAGATGTATCCAAATTTTCTTGCTCTATCTGAACAATTATATCTGTGAACAACAACTTTGTGAGACAGAAATTACAGCGGTAATAAAAGTAGATAAGAAAGGTAAATTCCAACTGTATACAGAGTTTTCTAGATAAGCTTAGTCTCCCCTCCTTATCAGAAGAAGATAAATCCGCTCTTGGAAAACCAATAACTAAGGAAGAGATTAAAAATGCAATCAATTCCCTGCAGAATGGAAAGGCCCCGGGGCCAGATGGCTATGGTCCAGAGTTTTATAAAAAAATAGTAAACTTAATAGATGGACCTCTGCTAAGGATGTTCCTTCACTCAATAGAGAAGGGCTCCCTACCATGCTCGTTGTATGCTGCCAATATATCTTTAATCCTTAAAAAGGGAAAACCCCCTGACGAGTGCGGCTCATACCGGCCTATTAGCCTGATGAATGTGGACAGTAAAATATTTTCTAAAATATTAGCGAAGAGACTCGAGAACTACTTGCCACTTCTAATTGGATCTGACCAGACGGGCTTTATTAAAGGCAGGAACTCTTATACCAATATGAGAAAATTACTTAACATCATGCAGTATGCAAATACTAATCAGGTACCGGGTCTTGTTATCTCACTTGACGCCGAAAAGGCATTTGATCGCGTGGAATGGCCCTATTTATTCACGATCATGGAAAAATTTGGACTTGGGGAGGGGTTTATTAAACTTACTAAGTTGATATATTTCTCACCCAGAGCGAGTGTTCTTGATTGCATCATAAGATCATAAGATTGCATTATATGCGGATGATGTTCTTCTTTTTCTCACTAACCCCGAGGTGTCTATACCAGCTTTAATGTCAGTCATCCAGACCTTTGGATCCTTCTCTGGATACAAGATTAATTTTAATAAATCAATGGCCATGCCAATTGGACATGGTAATAATATACCAAACATACCAAACTTTCCATTCTCTTGGGACAGAGAATGGAAAGTGGGACAGAGGACCCACTTGAATCCTGGGCATGTGTCCCATTTAGACTATTAGGGGAACTCACTTGCAAAAAATCTGCTCTTCCCCAAGTAAGGAACAACCCATTACTTCATAGCTCTATTAAAATATGGCATGACATGCATAGGTTTGTGGGCAGGAGGGGTGCCTTTTCTTACTTGACCCCACTCATGGGCAACAGGGACTTCCTACCTGGTGTTGAAAATGCTGTGTTCGGCTCTTGGCGGGAAAAGGGCGTGAGAGTGGTTGGAGATTTGTTTGATGATAACAATGTCCTCATGTCCTTTTCACAAGCACAAAATAGATTTGGTCTTCCACAAAAAGATTTTTTTGCATATCTTCAAGCCCGTCACTTCATCAATACGAATCTTAAAGTATCTCAAACAGAAACACTGAAGGGACCAATTGACAAGTTCATAATTAATTTTACAGTGAAGAAAGGTCTTATCACATACTTTTATAATAGCCTTCAGAGTTGTAACCAACATAGTGTTGAGGGGCTGGTTAAGCGATGGGAGGAGGACCTTCAAAGGGTATATGATGAAGATGCGTGGGAGGGATGTATTCGGACCACTCACTCGCTGTTCCTCAACAGTAAATTTAAAGAAATGCAATATAGGATACTCCACAGACAACACAGAACACCTCATGTTATGAACAAAATTGACCCCAATAGATCACCATTGTGCCTGAAATGTAAAACGTCAAGTGGGACTTATATGCACTGCTTTTGGAACTGTTCGAAAATCTCGATGTTCTGGTCTTGTGTATCTAAGGAAGTGTCAGCAATATTCAAACACAGGATATGTAAAGATCCAGGCCAGTTTCTATTAGGTCTGCCTTCAGGGAATAGAGTTATGGATGCAAAAAGATCGAAATTACTCAATAAACTTTTACTTCTGGCCAGAAAATGCATATTATTTAATTGGATTAGTGAGAAACCCCCCACTGTAACCCAGTGGTACAAAGAAATTTTCAGAGTCCTTCCTATGGAAAGACTAAGTGCCAAATTGAAAGGAAATAACGACATTTTTATGGACATATGGCGGCCTCTAATGGATTATCTGCCTAAGGATCTAAGTGAAATTATCGAGAGGGGAAACACTGGCCTAGAAGGTTACAGAATGAGGTGAATGGTGGTAAGAAATCTTTCATATCAGGTGCAGGGACATGTATGTGTATATATGTATTTATTTATTTATTTTTCCCTTTTTTTTTTTTTTTTTTTTTACTGAGTTCTGCTTATTCATCTGTTTCCACTTGCTCAGACCTTACTGATGTATGCAATGCTGTATTGTTGTTATGTTCTAAAAATTGAATAAAATCTGATTATTAAAAAAAAAAAAAGAAAGGTAAATTCACCTCTGCCAAATCATGACCAGAGGAATGGCGTTCTTTGACTGTGGTCTGTTAAAGTTTTCCTGTTTATGTCAAAAATGTCAATCCTCCATCACAGGTTGTTTTAAGCCCAGAGCTCTAACAGAGACAGAAATGCCAACTCCCAGTATGCCAGCAGACAGTAACCGGTCAACCAACAGCCCTAAAATAAGTCCTGTTTCAGGGTAAGTCTTTCTTTTGAACTTATTCATAATCAAAACAACTAACAACATTTCAGTCCAAGCACTGTAATAATATTGGTGATTCATTGTAATGTTATTTATTTTAGTTTGAATGTCCATGTTAGACAAAATTTTGCCGCTTTTGGCTAAAATTAAATTAGTTAAATTGCCTAACTGAGTAAATATTTGGGCCCTGCACCTTGGGCCTTCATAAAACTCCTGTTTTCCTATCGTAATCTATTTATGATATAAGGTGAGATTTTGAGGGGAAGGGAAAATGTACCACCTGGCTACCAACTATAGACACAAATACATTTACATGTATCAGACTGTTTTTATGGGGTCTAAAACAATCGAAATCAAGTAATTAATGTAGTCTTATGAACAAGAAGAAAGCTTGGTAATAGATGTGAGTGTGCATGATTTGTGTTGTGTATAGTCTAATCAGGTTGCTTTCATACTGATAAGGTGGTTTTGTAACTGTGCTGATCATTAGCTGCCTGTGTCATCATCAAAAACCCATTCTCACTGTTGTATCCTCTGCCATTTTCTTTGAAATAAACTGCTTTAGTGTTAATGTAAATGGTTCCTCTTCTCTGTTTATCTCCTTCTCCTCTTGACCAGATCATTTCAAGGCATGCGGTGCTCTTCCAGTGTCGTGTCAAGAGACGTAGTCATTAATTTCAAAGACGTCATCCCAATCACGAGTAAGCTGCACTGAAATGTATCCATTATTACCTGGACCAATCAGATTAATCCTGTGCTCTGTGTTATAAAATTATTGCTTTTTATGGACAGTCAGTTGTTGTTGGACATGGAAAAATGTTAAGACTCTGCTTGTATTTGTGTTTTTATCTTTCTTCCAGAGTTAATCCTCAAAGTTCTACAACTTTTTTGACTACAAAACAAGACTCCTTGTCTGCTAAGGAGGAGTAAGCTTCCTGATCATTAGCTGCCTGTGTCGTCATCAAAACACCATTCTCACTATTGTATCCTCTGCCATTTTCCTTTAAATAAACTGCTTTAGTTTTTATGTAAATGGTTCCTCTTCTCTGTTGATCTTCTTCTCCTCTTGACCAGATTACATAAACGCCAAGCAACAAACAGCAGTGACATGTCAAGAGAAGAAAACATTGATTTCGAAGACAATTAGCCCAACCTGAAGTAAGATGCACTGAAATGTATCCATAATTACCTGGGGCCTCATTTATAAAGCTTGCTTACGCACAAAACCTGGCTAGAAAGTGCTTACGCCACTTCTTACGCAAGACTTGGGATTTATAAAAGAAAAACTAGTGTAGGAATGTGCGCAACTTTAAGCAAACTCCACACCTTGCTTACGCACTTTTTGGAGACAATCGGAGCAAGGTGAGAACAATTGGTTAATGGAAAGCGCGTGTATAAAAAGCCATCCAGTGACAGTCGTGTGCAATGCAGCACAAGTTTCAAGTTTTATTTGTCACATGCCTAAATGTACAGGTACAGTGGCAGTGAAATGAAAGTGACCTCTGCGATTGTGCCAAAAAAAACATCATAATAATGATATAAAGTCTGTTCAGAGGGTGTTGAGAAGTCAGTTATGGGGTGTGTGTTATGAGGAGTTCAGGATCCGAGTGGCCTGGGGGGAGAAGCTCCTTTTCAGCCTCTCAGTCCTGGCTCTGATGGAGCGAAGCCTCTTACCCGAGGGCAGCCACTCAAACAGTCTGTGGTTCGGATGGAGAGTGTTTGATAATCCGTCTTGCCCTGGACCTGCACCGCTGGGTGTAGATGTCCTGGAGGCCGGGCAGTGCAGTCTGGGTGATGCGTTCAGCACAACGGATGACTCGATGCAGGGCCTCTCTGTCCTGAGAGCTGCAGCTGCTGTACCAGGCAGTGATGCTTGCAATAAGCACAGACCCCACTGTGGCGGTGTAGATAGTTTGCCAATTTGAATTTACAAATGTGCAAAAAAAAACCAAATTCCATTTACATGCATTTGTTTTAAGATTAATATGACTAAATCTTTTTGGTTTACGAACTTTCACCACATGAGCAGCAGTGGATAACGGAGCAGTTTTTTTTGGAACACATGCATGAGTGTCACACGTGCTTGTTTTTTCTGATCCTCACCTGTCGCCGCCACGCTCTGGCGATGCAAAGCCACTTTTTTCTTTGCCTCCACCTTTAGATCAGACCACTTCTTCTTGATTTCGGCACAGTGCTGTTTTCGTCAACGTCATCATCAACAGACAGACAGAAGCTGCTCCTATATGTTTAGCAGTACATTTGTACAATCTTTATTTCTGCTTACAGTCAACAAAAAGTACTTGGAATTCATTGTCTTGCCTGAGGATACGTCTGCATGTGACTGCCACAGCTGGGATCAAACTGCCAACTCTCGAATGTAGAGGTGAGTGGCTCTACCACAGAGTCCCAGCCGCCCTGTCTGTGACATTTTGCGACCACTAGAGTGCAGCACAGCCACACAGATGAGACAATGAGCAGTGAAGCCCTGCAGGACTGAACTCTATAAAAAATGATTCATGCTGACTGTGCGGTTTGGAGACGCTCCCCCACAGAGAAGTCTTTGTTTGCTCCCAAAAGATTCTTTAAAACACTCACTGCATCACACTTCAACCTAAAGACCTTGAGCTCTGTGCTGTCACTTCACTCCTCCTGATGATGAAGAGCAGCTCAGAGAATCCAAACATGAGAAGCCTGTCTTGGGGTTTCACGGGTCGGCCAGACTTTTAGGGGCCAGCATGTGCTCTCCGAGGTCAAACACCCTCTAAAACGCACAAGACATGAAAACATAAATCTGCAGGATATACTGCGCGCAATCTTTCACTTCTTCCTGTTCCTTCTCCTCTGACCCCCTCTGTGCTCGATAATTACAATACAGAAGCTTCTAATGAGATGTTTTGCATTTTTAGGTGAGCTGGAGGTTAGATCAGAGCAGAGATTTACTAGAAGTCCAGTCTGAACAGATCCTAGATGTTCATGTTCAGGAACATATTTGCATGTTCTTTCCAGCGAAATGCCAAAAAAACATCGACACTCTTGTTATCTGATTCTGGCAAACTAAGGAGAAACACACTGGTATAACGTGTATTACACAAAGTGCTGGATTTATGACAGATTTTAGTTGGCTGCAGTTTCAGGAACTCTCTTAGGTCCTTTTTAATATCAGTCTGAAAACACAAATGAGCCTTAAAGAGAGATAACTGCATCTGTAAAGACATATTTCATGTGGAAACACCTCCTATTTATCCCCAGTGGGACTGTTACTCTGATCACCATATTTTTATGCTGCTAATGCACTGTGTCAAGTTGTGAGCTCGCCAAAGGCTGACAGGTGATCCACACTCATCTTCTCCTTTTGACGGGAACACTGAAAGGGGGCAAAGTTTTTGGCTTGAAGTGAAGCAAGAGAATGCTGAACTTGCACCATCGATTTCCACTCGGCTCCAAAGCAAAGCTTGTGTTAAAGTTTGGCGTAAACATGTGATTTAAAAAAGAGATTAGTTTATAGAGGAACTCCCTCCCTTTTATTTTTTCTATTAATAATGTTCACAGCCTCCCACATCACTCTTAGTGTTCATGGCAGCTTGATCAGCCTTGCCAACCTTAACAGACCAGCTTTGAAGGACAATGCTACCACAGCTTAGCCTCTAGGTCCCAAGTGTGCTATGAAGTGGGCAGTGAGAGCTAACTTTAGACTGTATTAAACATGCCCACAGTCTCAGTGAAGCTGAGTTATGAAGCCCGTGCCGTTTTGGATATGCTAACTTAAGTTGACCCAGCAACAGACAAAGAGGCGGGCCTTGTTAACAGCTGTCTGCTAGTCAAATAATTCAGCTGTGCCCTTTCATAGGCAAAATTTAAAAACCCATGCAGTGTGTGAACAAAGATATACATATAAGATGTACATTTTAAACATGTTTATTTTTGTGTAAAGATTGGTTCTCTAGAATGGGTGTGTATGAGGTTAGCTTTGGTAGTCAGCCTCAAGTGGACACTTGAGGAATTGCAGTTTTTCACGCTTCAGCATTGTCTTGGATGAAAATGTCCATGAAGTGGGCACCTCCCCTCACCAGTGTTTCATCAACTAGTGCCATGACACCTCAAGGAGGCACTCGAATCATTCACCTCCACTACCGGAGGTGGCAACATGCCCCCTTTCCCCTCATTACTATCAGGTTGTCTCCCTGTCGTCTTATTACTTGTCAAAATGATTGACAAAAGAGACTAATGTGATGTAGGCTACATCATCCGGTGAAATCACTGTGACTTTTACAGTTCGGTACCATTTGTTTGTTTAGACAGGGAAGTTACGTCTTATGCTCAGAAGATTGGAGCATACGCTGAATGCTGAGGTCAGTTTGCAGGTGCGGCCAACTGCCTCACAATAACCAACAGAGTGCTGTCTTGGAGAGTGTAAGTCAATGTCCCCCGGTTGGCATGAGACCAGTCATCAGCAGTTTCCAGGAACAACAATTTAATGCAAAGAAATGTTGATGGGATGATGAAACTGAGCAATGGCGAGGAGGTAGAGGATTGTATGCAACAGCAGTGATATGAAAGGCTTAAGGACAGAGTTAAATGAGACCAAATGATGAGAAAAACAGGAAAACATGAGAGAGGATGCTCAGAGATATAGTATGAGAAGCGACAGAAGCTTGGTTAAAGTCGCAGCAGTTGATATTTGTGTAAATAAACAAGATAATATTGTTCTTTTTTTCAGACAAATGTCCACACCTAAGACAAAAGCTCCACAGATTGTCATAAAACCTTTTATTCTTAAAGATTTTGGCTTTCTCATCATATTCAGACTGTGCCTGCACTTCAGATCATAAAATCTTTACCGGTGGCCTTAGCGGATGATTTAATTCTCGAAGGAACAGATCATTTAAAAGCATTTTATTCCCCCTGATGGGCTGCAGAGTAGCTTGTTTTCCATTTTTTCCTCTTAAACAGCACAAAAATCAGCATGATGCTCTATTTCCTATGAAATGAGTTGAACATTTCTCATAGATGCATATTGTTTTCTAATCATTGTCAGCAGCTTGAAGGATGAGATGTTGTCAAAAACAATGATGGTGGATCTATTAAGGAGGAAACTGTACTGTAAGTGGTAAACTTTGACCCTTACTTTGACTCAGTGTTTTTTTTTTTTTTCTCCACTGAGCCTGACCATGATGTGAGAAATTCCCCATGGAGGTGAGAAGCCACACCTCCTCACATCTCTGTTTAATCTCGCCGTTCATAATACCGCCAATGTCTCATTTTATCTACAGGCTTAGCTCAGGTCGGACACACCTTTAACAGCTCTGAACTCTCTCTCCCCAGATATAACATGATCTAACTTCAGAGAGGTAAAATCGCTCAGCTGACAGTGGGGAATCGGATCTTTTCTCCTCATATGTTTTATTCTTCCACCTGTGCGCTCTTTCTAAAACAGCACACTTAGTAATTCAGAGCATTTTGGATCTTAAATGTAGAAATGTTGCCTGTGGTTTGGATAATGAATCCCACAGTCCACCCTAAAAGCTGCAAAACAACACCTGGAGAATAACTAAAGCGGCGTATTGATGAGCTTGTAAAACACAGATAAAAGATTTTCTTCTATTTTCACCAGCAGATAAAAAAGTAAGCAGGACATCTTGTGAATAGTGAGTTGAGCTCCAGCTGTTTTCTCTGAAGTCTCTCTCCAATCAAGCTCTCTCTTCTGCATCTAATCGTCGGAGATTGTTTACAGGCCGAGTGAGGAATTCCCTTTTGCTCTTTTTAGTCGCTGCTTCTAATACAGTGCGTTTCTATTGATTAGACTAAAAAGGAGTTTAAACTGAGCGACACAGTAGCTGCCCCCTCTGACTGATGCCACCGAGGCGACCTTTGACCTCAGGCTCTCTTGATGTAGTGGGATGACACAGGAGGGAGAAAAGTGACCTCAAAGAGGTTAATGAGGAGAACAGACACGCTGATGTCAAGATCACTGTGTCTGTTAGATGAAGTTGGACATGACACTTTGGACATGTCTTATATGTCTTAGACATGTCAGGATT